GGGGGGGGGGCGGGGATCATTGACGTTTTTAAAGTGCGTGGACATTGGACGAGGTGTCTCTTTTCTAGGCTACCGTAGTTGTCCGGGGGGAGTTGCTCGGCCGGGCAAAAAAGCAATGAAAAACATTATAATAGTTTTTCTCTTAAAATAGTTTTTTCTTCTCTCTTCTTGGCAAAGAATATCGACGTGACCCCGAGATGAAAAGTAGTTCAGTTAATTTCGTTAAATAGTTTCGTTTCGGAGTATTAGGATTTAAAAGAGAAAAAAAATTGCTGGGTCCTTCGCTGGTCCTCGACGGCCGGGCCAACAAGGCGATCCGGTCGACCCGGCTGGAAGCCCGTATAGATCTGTATATATAAACTATAAATCTATACATATATAAATGTATATATAAATGTATATATAAATGTATGGGTGAGTGATAGGCTACTTTCATTTTGGTTAAGGTAGATTATCATTTACAGTGTAATCAGTGAGGGGATTCTGCAGACTGTTGAGGGTTCAGCCTCCTGATGAGTCGGTGAAACTCCGACGAAACAGTTTGTCACAGCCCCTCGTTTGTTGTCCTCTTCTCTCTCTCTGCCTACGGTTTTACCGGGCAGTTCTGTTTGTGACGATATATATATATATATATTGTTACAAGAGTATCAGAGCGCAAATATATATACGCTCTGATATCATGTGACAATATATATATATATATATGTATTCCTTAGACTTGGATATTCCTTAGACTTGGATATAAGGCGCGATGGATTTCTCAATTGTGTGGAGCACTGGTCTGGGTCCCGATATTTGTCCGCAATAAGAACGCGCGTCCCCTGCTTCAATCGCGATCCTGATCTCCGTACTAAAGCCTGTCTTGTTTGATGCCGTCTTGATTGGCTGCTGCATGACAAATCCCGATGACACGTGGCAGCGGTGCTGCGTCTCGTTGCGGTTCTTTTTCTTCTTCGGATTCTCATGTGCTTTCGTTTTTTTTTTTTCAATTTTTTTTCTTTCTCGTTGTGTGTTTGTGTGTGTGTGTGTGTGTGGTGTGCTTGTTGGCGTTGCAGCACGGCGAAGAATACAACGACGGTGAACGCCAATGGTTGTGGGCTTTCGGACTCGAAGAACGGGCCCTGGGATTACGATACGTGTAATAGAGTGTTCAGTACCTGGGGCAATCTAGTCCACAAGAGGACTATTCAGCCGGATGTGAAGAACAATTTTCTGAACAAGTACGTTAGAATCAACATCACTCAGGTCACTTATCCGGACAACAGCAATTGGAACGGACAGGACTGTCTCGTCATCAAGACGCCGAGCAATTACACGTGCCCGGCCTAAAGTGCGAAAGAAACTTCTGCGAAGTTTCAGTGGCGCTTCAGTGTCGCGTCGACGAAGTTTCTTTAACCGGTCAAGTACCGAGAGAGAACAGCAGGTGTAACGGGAGGGCCAGACTCGAGATCCCGACGAATTTGACGTCGGACATGACGGACAGAAGGCCTCGTCATCAAGACGCTGAGCAATTACACGTGCCCGGCGTGAAGCGCGAATGGAACTTTTCGGCGAAGTTGTAGTGACGCTTCAGTGACGCGTCGACGAAGTTTCATTGACCGGCAAAGTACCAAGATAGAACAGTCTGAACAGCAACTGCAACGGGAGGGACACACTAAACATCCCGACGAAGAATTTCACTCACGTGCCCGGCCTAAAGTGTCCATAGGTAGATAAATTGATAGATAAATAGATAAATAGGTAAATAGATAGACCTAACTGAAAGTGCGTGGAAGTGAACTTTCTTAGAGTCGAGCCGGGCTGGCAGCATCAGATGTCTGGACAAATGGACGTGAAAGTTCTGGGAAACTTCATTGCGGTTGAGGGAAGTTTCACTCACCTCTTTGACCGTTTTGAAGAAGTTTCATGGACTGCATTGACTACGCGTGTTGCCGTTGGTGGCGTCAAATAGAATGGAAAGTTCCTTGAGACTTCAGTTGAACAGGCATCAGGCATCGTCAATGCGGAGAGTACGATGACGGGTCGGGCAGACAATGATAATGATGACAATGATGATGAATGATGACCGGAGAAAACGATGAAGATGATGTGTGGCAGAAGTCGTGAGTCCGTTAGATAGTTAATCAAATCAAAGTCAAGCGTGAGAGGCGGGAATTTGAGGACGGTATCGTTTGGGTGACGAATGGGGAAAGTCAGTTGTAAATTGACAAAGTCAAAGTCAAAGCCAGTTAGTTATGAATTGTCGGTCAAAGTCGAACTTGAGTGGCGGGAATCTGAGGACGATATTATGCGGCCAAAGCATATGGTTCGAGTCAGTTTTTAAGTGGTCAAAGTCAAAGTCAGTCAAAGTCCAAGTCAAAGATGGTGAGAATGGTAGGCAAAGTCGAAAGGCGGCTAGGGGTCGTCAGTCGAAGTGAGTTAAAGATTGTCAAAGTGGAAAGTCAGTTGTATATTGACAAAGTCAGTTGTATATTGACAAAGTCAGAGTCAAAGCCAGTTAGTTATAAATTGTCGGTCAAAGTCAAACTGGTTGTCGGTCAAAGTCAAACTTGAGTAGCGAGAATGTCACGACGATGTCCTTCAGTTGAGGCAAAGGATGGATCGGGAAGGATGGAGGTAAAAGTCTAAAGTCAACACTGTCGGTTAAAAGTCGGTAGAAGAGAGGGAGGATACGCCAAACAACATATGAAAGATTGTCATTCAGCAGATGAAGGATAAAAATCGACTTGTCGTCGTTTTTGCGTTTATCCTCTTCTGATTTGTATTTCTAAATTTCTCTCTTTTTTTTCTTTGTCTTGATTGTTTTTTTTTTTTTTTTTTTTTTTGGTGAGTGTACTTCTGTATAAGTGCTGTTCTATATCCAGTGTAATTGCTGGTCTGTATCGAGTCAGATAATTGGAGTAATGCATAATGCATCCGAAATTTTTGGATTCTGGGTAGTTTTTTAAGAAAGGGTTAATTACGATAATATTGCTTTATCTAAATTTTCACAGCAAAAATCTCCGCAACACTTTCTAATTTTTGGATTCTGACTGGTCGATTAGAAGTGTTTTACTTCGCAAAAATTTATGTGCAAAAATTTATGTTCCATTGCAGCATTACACCGGGAACCCTCAGTTTCCAGGCAAAAATTTCGCACAACGGACTACAATCATCCCGCGAACACAACGCACCCTCATTTCGACTGTATCGGTCCGCAAACATACCTTGTATACGTTCATTCAAGGTGCGTTATGTTGGAGGGAAGACGGTAGTTTCCCAGCATAGGACTCGTCGGCCTCTGGCCCCAGGTACGCTGGGACTCTGGGACTCTGTGACTCGGGCCAAAAAATTGTCACTGGTCACTGCGTGATTCTTGGGGGGAAAAAAAATGGAGAAACAGCACTGGCCAGTCTATTTTTCTGATTTTTCCTTTTGTTGTTTTCTGATTTTTCCTTTTTGGCACGGCACAACAAACTTGTCAGTGGTCAGAACCAGCACTGCGTGATTTTTTTGGGAAAAAAAAAAAAGAAAAGAACTGACACTGGCCAGTCTATTTTTCTGATTTTTCCTTTCTGGCCGAATGCTGGTTGGCGTGTTGACGTTCAAGAAAAAGCGTGAGTATGCATGCGCGGAAGCACCATGAAAACTGCATAGGAGAGAGAGAGAGAGAGAGAGAGAGAGAGAGAGAGAGAGAGAGAGAGGGAGAGAATACACATAGTAGTGCATGGCATGTGGCCATGCGGCGTTCTCAGCCATGTGCGCTCTCTAACCTCCCTCCATCTCTCTCTCTCTCTCTCTCTCTCTCTCTCTCTCTTCGGTTAGGGAATGCAAGTGGCAGCGTACGCCACGTCGCCACGTGGCATGAGCCGCACGTGCATTCCGTATCCTCTCTCTCTCTCTCTCTCATCTCTCTCTCTCTCTCTCTCGAGCACTTGTTATGGTGTGCACTTCCCTGCTAGCCACGTGTGCTTCTCAGCCATTGACGCGCTCGAACGTCAACCTGCTGCTTGGGAACGAAGGAAAATAGAGAAAATGAAAATATGAAATGGGCGGTACCCAAACAGAAAAAAAAAAGGAAAAAAAAGAAATGGGCGGTACGTATCCCAGGCCTTTTTTTGTTCCAGGCGGTACTGCTGCCCGCCTCACGGTGGGTCTCTGCCATCAGGGCCGAGTCCCCGAGTCCGTAAGGCCAGAGGCCGTCGGGTCCTGTGCTGGCATAGAATGCAGAAGACGTACATTTGTGCAGCAAAGCTCTTGCGCAAACTCGGTGGGCCAGGTAAAGCTGCGGTGAAACATGATTTTTTGTTAAGTATACTTCGAAACAACCGGACTAGATTTTCTTGCGCAAACTCGGTGGGCCAGGTAAAGTGCTGCAAAGCTCTGGCAATGAATGAATGAATGAATGAATGAATGGATGGATGGATGGATGGATGCCATTGAAAAATGGATGGATGGATGTGATGGAAAGTGATCCCGATGACATCAAATCCATCCATCCATCCATCCGTCCATTCAGCAGAATGTATAATTGACAGTTCTTTTAATATAATTATGAAAAATCGATGGATGGATGGGATGGAAAGGTATCCCGATGATAATTATGAAAAATCGATGGATGGGTGTGATGGAAATTTCCTTCTTTTAATGGAAAATAAGAGGGGGGGCGGGGAAAAAAGGTATCCCGATTTTTTTTTTTTTTTTTTAATTATTTTTTTTTTTGTATTTAAATGGGCAAAGAATTTCGACCCGAAAGTTGTTCCAGTGTAGTTTCCTTCAAAACGCTTTTTTTTTTTTTTTTTTTTTTAAGCTATAGTCTTCTCTCAAATTCACCTCACACTACCTACCTACCTACCTAAGACTATATAGAGGGGACCCCTGCAAGCATAGGGCCTCGCAAACGAGGTAATTCATGTCGCCCCTGGGGGGGTGGGGCCGCCGGTGGGGGTTCCGGCTAACGCAAAGACCGAGCATTTTGCCAGTAGCTAGCTGCGCCTCCCTTTCTCATCGTCCCCCACCCCTCATCAAGTAGCAGCAGAGGCTATGGCCATTGCGGGTTGATTTTTTTTTTTTAATCTTTTTTTCCGCTGCTCTTTTTACAGGGGCCTTCCTTGGCCGTAGTCCGCCTGAAGCGCCCAGGCAACCGTGGTGACCCCGGGCGGCCCGGTTGGCGAACACAGATGGGATCCAGATTGCGGAGCGAATGATATCCCGACTTAGCATTCAATCGTATCCACTCATTTTTTAAAGTGCTTTTTTACTTTTTGTTTTTTTTGGGACTATTCATGGGGAGCAGCACGTGCTGGGACGTATCCACTCATTTAATGCATGTGATTGAAAAATCAGCGGATGGATGTGCATGATGTGATTGAGAAGTCAATGCATTGGATGCATGTGATTGAATATTATCCAGAACCGTTTTTGTTTTTTTTTTCTCTCCTCTTTTTTGTAAAGAAAGCAAGCTTTATTAGCAAACAAAGCCGGGACCCGGGCCTGATTTCCACCCATCTTTGTGTGTCAACGCTAATATCGCAAATCTCGAAACCTATTATTTCTTTGATGAAGTTGTAAGAAAAGTAGGGGCTTCCTGAACATACCAAAGAGGCCTCGTCAAGTTAATAGAGAACTTCCAGGTAAGAATTGCAAGGATGTATGATGATAGAGAGAATGCAATAGAAATCAGACAACAGATGTTATCAGAAGACAACAGATGTTATCGACAATGTTACAAACTCAAGTATCCTTCACTGGACCTTAAGTGTTACACACGTTACACACGTCAGATACACAGTATCTTTCATTGTTGCACACGTTACACACGTCAGATATACCAGTGTTCCGGGCGGGTATGGCACCCCACCGGTTTCGACCGCCGCCACGCGGTCTTCTTCAGGGGGAACAACCCGTCTTCTCCCGATACTAGTTGTCCATTCCACTACCCCACCGCCGTCTCCGAGACTACCATTTGGAATGACTGGCTCCCGTTGCCGTCGGACCCGAACAGGAACCTGACTGTTCATAGCTTGCTAGTGTTCCACATCGCATGCATAGATGTCATCACACGGGTAAATTAGGCCCTTTTAGAATAGTCAGCGCCACCCCCAATTTAACCCCAATCAGCCACCCCCCAATTTAACCCCAATTACCCACCCCCAAATTTAACCCCAATTAGCCAACCCCAATTTAACCCCAATTAGCCACCCCCCAATTTAACCCCAATTAGCCACCCCCCAATTTAACCCCAATTAGCCCCATCCATCCATTCTACCAAAGAGCCGTCAAGAACCCTTAGCTCTCCAATTACTCCCCATCCATGACCCATCCATCCATCCTTGTTTTTTTTTTTTTTTTTTTAAACAAAGAACATCCCGAGTGGATGCAAGGGGTGCTGTTAACCACCCCCACCCCCCCCAAAAAAAAAAAAGGGGTGCTGGTGAGAGAAGTCACCGTCCATCCGTTCTACCAAAGAGGTGCAACGAAGAGCTTATCCTCTTCGGTGGATTCTGGGAGGGACACGCCTTGTGGAGATGACGTTTGACACACAGTCCGAAAACCAGAGACCCACCCAATTAAACACCAGTACTTGGCCCAGCTATCGATGCCGAGCCTGGAATGCCCCTGCGCGCCGATTTTCGCCGAAGCGCCGGGGTACCGTTTCAATTCTTTTTTCGCTGGCGCTTCCAGCCATTGTGGTCCGGTACCCCGAAGCCCTAAAGGCGCGGCGCGTATACGGGAAAGCGCCGCGGCCGATAGCTGGGCCAAGTACTGGTGGTTTAATAGTCCCATCCATCGATTCTACCGAAGAAGAGTCGTCGAGGAAGAGCTTAGCTCTCCAACGACTCCCATCCATCCATCCATCCATCCATCGATTCTTCGAAAGAGTCGTCAAGAAAAAAGAAAAAAAAAGAAGGAATCGATCCCATCCATCCATCCATCCATCGATTCCTGACGGCGCAAGCGCAGGGGCATTCTGGAGAAGGAAGTTTGACCAAAAAAAAAGCGCCATGTGTGGAGTCGGATGGTTGACCAAGGAAAAAAAAAAAAAAAAAAAAAAAAAAAGAAGGGAACTAAGTCTTGATGAATCTGCGTCCCTTACAAAGCTTGCCTCCAGCACTCTGAGAAAATATGTGGAATAGAGGTGAGTTGTGGAATGGTATGTGATGGAGATTCGGGAATCATCTATAATTAATAACTATGGAGAAGTTTTTGAAGAGTGAAATTTTTATATCAGAATCTGGAGTAGTGGATAAGATTGAATGAATATGTCCACAGTCGGAAAATCTGTGGCTGTGGATTAGAGACTTAGAGTTGTGGAATGCTGTCCAGAATCATTCCATAATTATCTTAGAATATACTGTTCAATATGCTGACAAGGAAAAAGAAAAATAGTGCATAGGATTCAATAATTATAATAAATATATCCACAATCGGAAAAATAGTGCATAAGATTCAAGAAAAAAACTGTTCAATTCCGGAATGGCGAAGTTGTTGTTAAATGCTATCTAAGAATCTAAGAATAATTATGGATAAGATTGAAATTTATTCCCCCCGAGTGGCATTTAGCAGAGACTGCTGATGTTCATAGGGGGAGGGGACCGGAGGGGAGGCACAGTGACTGGCCCATCGAAGAAGCTCGGTCCTGATGCTTCCGGCTGACCCCTGGCTGGTATCGCCCACCTGCTGCAGCAGGTATCGCACCTGCAGGTGGGTGCAGCTCCCGCATGTTCCCTCGTTGGAGGCTTGAGCACGGATGT